TATATATATAGATAAAGATATAGATAGAATGAAATACATAGTATATTTTGATGACACACATGTGGATATATTAAATGAAGAAGATGTCATGCTCATGGACTATGAAGGTTACTCAATTGATGATTGGAATTCATTGTCAGTTGATCATGTTGTACGTATTCAAGCTGTGTGGAAAGACCAACCATTTGATGCATGTCTTCTGCAAGTAGTTCCTAATGATGACAGTTGTCAGCAAACTATAAACAGTTTGAGACATGCAGTTAAAGTTAAAAATTTTGGTGCATTGAGGTTAATGAAGTACATCAAGTTCAGGTATTTATAAAATTTAAATTTTTAGTTTTTGTGTTTCTTGAGAATATTTAATAAAGTTGGTTCTTTTATAATTTATATAGAGTTCGGCCTAATAAACGCGCACCTTTACAGCCTTTAGACAACCTCACCAGTGGAACCGATTCTGATGCCTTTACACCACTGTTTGTTAAACCACTAGCTGTTAAAGTTAGTGAACCAATACCTCCACTTTGTTCTCCACCTTTAGTCCCAATGCATATATTTACACCAACATCTTCTATCCAACATGTTGATAAAAACCAATTACAAGTCTCATCTTCTATTATTTCTAAGTCTTTTAAACCTTTGGCCTGCAAAGTGTCAACGTCAGATGGTCCAAAAACAAAACGAGCAAATACAGGCCTTGTTTTAAATAAAAAAGTGCTTAATGCATTAGCTTAACGCAATTTTGACGTCATAAAATTATCTTTATTTTTTTTTATAGACGTTAAGTGTTTTAACTACCACAATAAATAAATAACCGCAAACTAATTCAATTTAACAATTAACTCAAATATAAACTATAAACGTTTTAAATATAAATTTATTATGAAAATTTTGTAATGTTTTCAATTGTTATTTTATTATTTATTTTAGTTCAATATTATTTAGTAAAAAATATATATATATATATATATATTAATTATTTCTGAAATTTGTTTTTGAATAATTGTTTTTAATCGTTATTGAATAAAAAATAATAATGATTTTTTTTATTTTTAAAAATTTCTAGAGTAAACAAAAAATATTAACATTGATAAACACAAACCCATGTTAATTATTTAAACAACGATTTTGTTTTGACTAGCAAAGAAAAATTTAAGTTTTTAAATATTTTTAAAATTTTTAAAAGCGTTTTAACTTGCGTTTTATAAAAATATAAAAAAGTTTTGTCTGCTTTGAAGCGTATTTTTGATACGTAGTTTAGAACGCGTTCGCTAGGAATTTAATTCATAAACTTTTTATGTTATTGTAAAAATATTTAACTTTTTTAACAAATCACAAAGAAACAGAGCTGTAGAGAAAAATCGTTTTCAACGATTTAATCTTTTTTTTTTAATTTTAGGAAATTAAAAAAAAAATTAAATAAAATATAAAAGTCTTAATTATGCAAACTCTTTTATTAATTATTCTTAAAACAAAAAAACAAATACTTGTACGCCAAACTTTAATCGTGCAAACTTATAAAAATACTCAACTGAAATAATTTAAGTATATTTAATAATTTGAATCGTATCTGTTTATAATAAACGTTCGTAAAAATTTGTTTATTAAAAATTAAGTTCCTTAACTTATAAACAAACACAAAAGTATTTTCATTCTACGTATTATTACAAAACTCTTTTTTTTTTTTCGTTTGTAAGCAATTTAACTTAATAAAATAAAAAAAAGAATAAATATGAGGTAATCTTTGTTAAGAATAAATTTAATTTATTTATTGAACTATATTTTTATTTTTAATTATATATCAACTTAATTAAAATATAGTAACCTGTTAAAATATTTTAACATGACTTGTATTATTTATAAACCATTGGGCAGTTGCCCTTACGGCTCTATTGTTTTTGGATAATATTTTATTTTGATGAAGATCACATAACTTACATTTGATTTTAATAAAGTAAGTCTTTTTCTGTGATCATCGCATCGGCAAAGTCCCAAAATTTAAAAGTTTTTAAAGTAAATCTTTTGTCCTTCAAAATACAATCCATATTCAAACTTTAAATAATTTAGAGATAATAGAAATATACAAGGTTTTTATATACTAGTTTGTTTTGTTTTATAAAGAAAAATACATATTCATTAGTAAAAAATGGAGACTGTCATTAAACTAAAACGTGCTTTAGTATTTATTTAACGGAACCTGTAATGTGCGCGTGCATAATAAAACCTCCGTTATATAAATATATTCAACGTAATATTAGTGTCATCAGCGGATGCTGTAGTCTACTCATGATTTCTTTACCTTATATTATTACTTGATTTATGACAAAAAAAACTTATTGAATCGCACGCAGAAGAATTTTAACAAATTGTTTTCATTCAAATATTGCGAGTAACAGGTAATTTTTTTTTCTGTGCCGACTCCCTCCCCCCGCATAACTTAAACTATATACTAATAAACTAATAAGAAAAGCTATATACTATTAAACTAACTATAAGCTATATACTATTAAACTAATAAGAAAAGCAAAGACATTTTTTTTAACATCTCGAAAAAATGTCTTGATATTTTTGTTATCATGATAACAAAAATATTAAGACATTTTTTGAGATTTTATTTTAAAAAATGTCAATTTTTAATTACAAATTTTTTTGCAAATGTTTTTTATTATAAATTCAGTAAAAAATTCATAAAAAATCTATATTACAAAAAACTTTTATATTCTGTATTAATAAATATGGAATATAGATTTTTTAAAAGTTTTTTACTAAAAACTTTACTACTTTTTATTAAAAACATTGCAAAAAATTTGTAGTTAAGGATTGACAAACAATTTTTCATGTTGCTAAATATTTGGATAAAAAGTTTAGCGTCAAATTAATTGCTATAAAAAGGAAAGATATATCGCGATGAAAAGTTACAACAATTAATTTTAAAGTAAATTCTTTTTTTTAATAAATACCTTTACATATCGTTATTTAAAAGTTAATGTGGTTTTTTTGAAAATTAATTACTTCTTTTATGTTACCGCTAATTTAAAAGTTAAAAAATGATAAAAAGTAGCTTAACCAAAACAGCTCTACGCGTACGTAAAAAGCGCTTAAGGCGTGCGTAAATCGCTCTAGGCGTAACGCTTTAAAACAAGGCCTGCAAATAGTACTCATGCTGTGCTCCATGAGCTCAATGTTCTTTGCAACGATGCAGGCATCGATTCTGACACAGTCCAAGCTGTGCGATCTGGTCAAGCTGTCATTTTGCAAAAATTAGCTCTTATTTCACAACGGCTGGACAGCTTGACGCATTCAACAGTGAAAGCAATACCATTATTGAAAAGCGAACAAAGAAAAGTTCCTTTGTTTTGTACTCCGGATGATCTAGCAAATGCAGATATTGTTTTATCTGATGAAATATTTCAGTGGATGCTTCAAGAAGGTGGCCGTGATTCCAATGATCTTTGTGAGCGTTTATTAAATCTCCTTTTATCAATTGATTTGGCAAAACAACTTAATCGAAGTGGGAAAAATGGTAAATTAAAACTTCCAGTGAAGTTAGAGAAATTCATAAAGGACTGCGTTTTGACAAAATTTCCAAATGAAACTCGCAATGTTGTAGAGTTGCGCATCAAACGATTTTTGCATAATGCAAAGGACAAGAATGGTGGAAGGGCTGCAAGGCGAAATTCTAAAGTTCCTAAAGGTATAAGTATTTTATGAAATGTTGTTTCTATTGGTCATTTGAAATCATGACTATTTTTTAAAATGCTGTATATATTAATGTATTTATGTATTTCTATGTATGAATCCTTGGTATGAATAATTGGTATGGTATGGTAAAATATATATATATATATATATATATATATATATATATATATATATATATATATATATATATATATATATTTTTAATTTCTATAGAAGCTGTTGAATGCAATGACTTGATTATTGCAAAAAATAATAAAGATTTTGACAATGAACATCCTGGTCCAAAGTGCCAAAGTAACTTTTTATTTAATTATAAATATAATAATTTATATATTAGAAATATAAAATAATTGCTTTGTTCTCCAAAATCAAAATTGGAAGTCACGTTGATTTCTATGTTTCTAAGTTGAAATCTATGTTGTGATTTATATCATATTGCTATTATTGATATGTTCAAATTTAATTTTATACCTTTTTTAGATGCTGCTCACGGTGAATTGTCAGTACACAAAAAATGTCGGAAGCTCAACCAATCTAATTTATTTGATGAATCAACTGATTCAGATTAATTTATTTAAATAAAATATATAATTTTATCTTATATTTGTGTTTTATTTGTTTTTTTGTTGCTCTATTCTATTTTTCATAGTAATTTCATGGTATATATTTACATATAACCATGGTTATATACTTACATATTAACTTACAACAAACTGATTTCAGTGGCTGAGATTATTCTAATTTAAGTTTGTGTGTAAAGATGCACAAACTTATTGTAGGGCCTAGATCAGCTGCCAATATCAAACCGTTATCGTTTTTGTCCATACGGAATTGTGTAAGGTTGAAATTATATGGATATTTTACCCAAACAATTTTCTGGTATTGATTTTTTAACCAATCAATTTTTTTAAATATCCAGACAATTTTTTAACAGATATTTTAAAATATGATCTGGATGATCTATGAACCATATATCAACAAAACCCTATACCATGTTTGCACTTTTAAATTATAATGGCTATCAATATATAATAGCTTATTCAATTATTTTATGTTTCAATTATCTATGTTCATTTTGTTTATATTTAATTTATTTATTAGATTTTAATGAAATCTGAAAGTTTTGTTATAAGTGAAGATCAATTGCTATACAATTTGCTATACATATGTATATTTGTTCTTTGTATAGTAAATGATAGTGTTTCCTGACGAAGAGCTAGAAATTAAGTTATCTTTTAATTATATGAATTGGATATTATTAGTAATTTTATATTGTTATAAATAGAATAAAATATTTTTTTTAAGTATAATTATGTAAGAGATTTTTTTACATAATTACGTAAGAGATAAAATTTGTTTTTATTATAAATTCAATTATATGTATAATTTTTTAGTTATAGATATAGATGTCGAAGAAATCAAAATCAACTTATGAATTATCGAATTGATTCTTTCAACAATCTATAAAGGTTTTTTCAGGTCCATTAGTAGTTTAGTTTTTCTTAGTTAATATTTGATTTACTTGGAATGCAACCTTAATTATACATGTATATTTTTTTAAATATTTTTATTTATCCCTTTTTTATTATATTATTTTATTTTTTCATTTCTCTAGTGTTACTATTTTTGGATTCATTGCCAAGCAATGAAGCAGTGCGTTTAACTATTAACAGAAGAACTCCTTCAGGTATGTCTCCTTGTCAATAGTTTGTTGTATGATTATGTTAAATTTATAAAATGTTTATTCCAACACAAGGTAAGGTAGAAGTAGTTTTATTTACTGGCGATGTTAGTTTTTAGCAGAATAAGTATCATATATCAAAATATTTCCTGTTAATTTTTTATTTATTGATAAAGTATAACCTGTTATGGTAACAATTTTTTTTTGCACGAATCTATTTTTAACACAGTGCTCTCAGAAGAAAAACTCTTATAATAGAGGTGTTATACTGTTGCTATGCTAATATTATCTATATTGTATTCATATTTTTATTGATATATAATTTTCAGAGGCTGTAGATTTTGATAATGCATATCTTGATTCTAAATATAAATGTATATTTTATATATATATATATATATATATATATATATATATATATATATATATATATATATATATATATATATATATATATATATATATATATATATATATATATATAATATGGCCCAAGCTCCAGCGTGTTTTATATAACATGTTAATTTTTATAGGGGCTGTTGAATGCAAAGAAGTAAACAATGACCAAGATACAAATGATTTTGGCAGTGCACATCCTGATTCAAATTGCCCAAGTAACTTTTTATTGAATTAGAAATATAATACTTTTCATATTATAAATATAAATTAGTTATTTCGTTCTCTGAAATTAAAAGTGGAATTTGGAATCTACGTTGTGATTAATGTTATATTGCTATTATTGATATGTGAAAATTTAATTTATAGTTTTTTTTTAGATGCTGCACACAGTGAATTATCGGTTAAAAATAAAACTTTGGAATTTCACCCGATTCAATTTATTTGATGATTCAACTGATTCAGAATAATTTATTTAAAAGAAATATATAATTTTGTTTTATATATGTGTTTTACATATACTTTAGTTGCTTAATACTATTTTCCTTTTTTTCCGATTTGAATAAGTGTGTTAAGATTTGCATCGGCTAGCAGAGTTTTTGAACGTCTTTGTTTTTGTCCATACAGAATCGCATCGGGCTGAGATCGGCCAGCCGATGATTTGTTTGGAATCGCGTCGGCTTAACATCGGCCAGCCGATGCATTGCAATAGTTTGAGCGGCTAGTCGATGTCGGGCCGACCTCGGTCCGTATGGATAAAAACGCCGTCGGTCCGATATCGGCAGCCGAGCTCGGTCCGACATCGGCTTTAACACAGGGATATATATATATAGTTATATACATATATATATATATATATATATATATATATATATATATATATATATATATATATATATATATATATATATATATATATATATATATATATACACGCTTAAAAATAGTGTGGACAAAAAACACGACACTTAGTGTAGCGTCTTTTTGGCTACACAAATAGTGTACTTCAAGGCTACACTTGCGCGCTTTAAAGCCACACTTGTAATTATGAAATTAAACTTCATTATATGCGTAAAAAAAGCCACACTTAGTGTGCACTTTGTTGGATTCTCGTATCGAATTATTCGGAAAGGAGACTAGAATCATGTTTTTAGCGACATGTTTTTTTTTAAGAACCATTTTCAGTTTTACTGAAAATTTTAGTTAACTTTTATTGCTGCATGGTAATTTTAAACACATACATAGTTAACTTTTTCATAAAAAAATATTTGGTTTGTAATATTTTAGTAATATCGTATTAAATATGTTAAGCGAGGAAAATATCGATTTTCAGTTGTTAAAAATTAGGTAAGACCTTCGGTTTAATACAATTATTTTAGTTACGTTAACAACATTATTATGAAGTTATAAAAATTATAACATAATAACATTAATTATAAAAAATAATAACATTAGTCTAAAAAAAATGTGTAAAATATAGGTTTAAATAAAATCACATGACATTACCAGTTAACTGGTAATCTGTTAACATAACACAAGTAATGTTGTTAACATAAATGTAAATAATGTTGTTAAATAATATTGTTAACGTTAAACCTTAATGTTAATGTTGTTTAAGTTAATTTTTTTATGTTATAACAAAATGGAAAATATTTAATACATAAATATTATCAAATAAATATGATAATAATGTTATTTTAGTTAAAATAGCAGCATTTTAGTTATATTAACAACAACTATTTTAGTTATCATATGTTAACAACTATTTTAGTTATCATATGATTATATGTATATACATATAATCTAGTTGTATATAATCTAGATTATATGTATATACATATAATCTACCCTTTATGGTATACGTATACCATAAAGGAATACTTTACATTATGTAAATATCTTTTTTTTTTTTGCTGAGATAACTAATAAAAATCATTATTGCATGATATATCATTCAATAATGATTTTTATTAGTTATGATTATGATTTTTAGTCATCTTGCATGTTGAAATAATGTATTAAATAATTTCATCATACCTATGAAAGCACTCTAATAAAATTATATTTATATATATATGCAATAAATGCACAATTGCAACTATGATTTATAGTGCTATAATATGTATATATTATGTATATATATATATATATATATATATATATATATATATATATATATATACATATACATATATATATATATATATATATATATATATATATATATATATAATATATATATATATATATATATATATATATATATATATATATATATATATATATATATATACATATACATATATATATATATACATATATATATATATATATATATATATATATATATATATATATATATATATATAATTTTTTTTTTTTTTGATAAAAGTTATTAAAACGTTTATTTGCTGTATATGGGGTACTTTTACGTAACTATTGATTTTTTTTCAAAATCATCTACAACGTCATAATAGTATTGCCAAAATTGTTTATCCAATTAGATGTTTACAGAATGGCTGTAAATGTACCTGTACAGCATATATGTCGCTAATTAGACATGTAAAATGTTACCATAATATTGATAATGATTTCATTGATAAAAATCCTGAGCCAAAATACATAGTAATCCATTAAATGATAATCGTAACGATTTATTGCCTAATTTTTCAGAATATTCGTTGCCTAGTTTTCCAGAGAATTCTACTTATCAAGTTTACACTTAACCTGAAAAAACAATAGAATATATTGATCCTTTGTTAGTTTCTTCATTGTGAACAAGCAGCAGTGTTCCTTATTACATTATACCTGAAGTAATTGTTTCTGTTAACAGTAATTTCATAATCATTAGTTTCCTATATTGCAGTGCTCAAATAGTTTTTCAAAGCTTGCCAATCAAATGTAATTATTTCACAAAAAAAGGTTTTCCTTGAATTTTTTGAAATTTCTTTAGACATTGCTGATCATTGATCGGTTGTTATTTTGAGCGATGATATTGGTAATGCTGCTTTATCAGTTTTCAATGACATTAGAGCAGATTCCACTCTATTAATGTTTAAGAGTAAGTTTGAAAGTAGTGTTATACATTGCAATGAGTCACTCAAGTTTTCAAGTTTTTTATATAAACAAGATAAACACTTAGAAAAAAATTCTCTTTTTGTAACTTCTGAAACATGCAACATGGGCCCTCCTAGATGTGAAACTTATGAGGGAATTTCAAAGATAGTTTCATTTTATTAAAGAGGTATTAAGTAATATTACATTGCATGATGGCTTTAACACTTGCAAACAAAACATTTTGTTACTAGCAAGAGATTCAATGTTCAAAAATACTTTGTCAGAAGACTAATATAATGGAGGTATATATATGTCTACTACCCTAAGTGGGGAGAATGAATAAATAAGAACTTTATAACTTAAATAAGAAATTTTACAACATAATTGTCAATCTGCATAAGTACTAAGCTGCTGCAACTTGACTATGTGCCAATCTGCAAAAGTGCGAAGTTTCTCTTTCTCATCTTATTTCATTTATTAGTTCCTTATGTAATATACCCTTTTAATCCAAAAGAAGGTTTTTTTATAATCTACCTATAAAGGTTTATAAGTATATACAAGTTGTTCCCTGATTTATTTTTATTTTTATTTAGAAGATGCAGCTTTTCTTGCATTTAAGGCGCTCCCTTTTCTTATGATAGCACCTCCACAGAAGAGCAAGAAGAGTCCAAGAATTTGGGTATATTTTATAGAGAAATGGATGTAAGTTTTTTCTATGCATTTTTTTTTAAAGTTAAATTTGGTTTATAATCAAAAAGTATTACTTTTTTGAGCTTTGAATTTTCTGCATTTTTAAAATTTTACTTAAACATTTAGGTACACCTCAGTCTTGAAAGCTCCCTTGAGAATTGAAGGAGAAAGTTTTTCTACTGATTTTATTCAAGTGTTGCAGCACTCTATTTATAATTCAAATTATAACTCTAATTATAAGTCGATAATACAGCTATACGGTTGAAAGCCATACCGAGTATTAGATTTGCTTTTGAGTTGCAGCTAGTCTCTTATTATGTATTTAATGTCAATTTTCCTCATGAACTTATTTGTGTATATAGATTTATGGGAAATTTGCTTGGAATAAACAACAAAAGAATTATCGTCAATTCCTTTTAAAGAAAGTATTGCCAAAAGTTTAAGATTAAATTAAGCAATATGTTTGTGAAACGAAAAAGTATTTTTATCACTTTCTTGTTTATTTTTGTTATATCGTCAGCCGAGAACCAAGAGACCGTATGTCTTTTTTTTTGTGTTTCCAAGAAAATCAAGTTTCAAATTTTAATTTGCAAAGTCTTTCTTCCAGAAAATTCGACTGATTATTTAAATATTTCCTAAAATTTTATTGTTGTGGTATATTTATGAAACACACACTCCTGAATATTTATTGATAATGGACAAAAAAAAAACACAAAATGTTGATATACGATTCTTCTCTGACGGCGGTATCTATTTTTCAAGGTTTTAACTCGCTTTTGCATATAAATGTTTTAAGACTTGTTTTTAATTTAGTATTCACTGAATTGAGTTTGAGTTTGAACTGAGTTTATATACTTAAAAGAAATACTATAACAATGTATTGACTCGGAATTAAAATAAAATTTATATTTCAGTTTTTATTATTTTATTGTGATATCGTTCCGTTATTTCTTGTAAGCCAATATAATATACATGTGTAATTTAGTATGACTCTAAATGACAATGTGTAATTTATTATATGATATAAATAGCATTCTTTATTTGAATTATTTAATTGCACCCGGTTATATACATAGTACATGAAGACCTAAATGGGCGGAATAAATCACGCATAAATATACTTACAAAAAATCAAAACATTTTTAACGTCTAGAAAAACACAGATTAGTGTTTAAACCTTCGACCATATAAACTGATAGACACGCCTTACCGCAAGTAAATATTCACACAACTTTGAAGCCAACATCTTTTAGCGCGTGACGTCACGTTTGGGCATTAAACAATTTATAATATCGGTTTAGGGTGAATGTATTTAACATTTTTAAAGTTTTATTATTTGTTATGTTATTATTTTGTTTAAATTTTGATTTTCAAATAGAATATAGATATATAAAGATCATGATGTTATCTTGTTTTGCATATAATTGCACTTAAAGATATATTAAAAGGGTTTCTTTTCATGTGTAAGTAGCTACAAATCATTATTTGCTAAAATCCTACATTATATTTTAAATATAAATAGCATATTATTTTAATATGCTTATTTTTGTTGGTAGTTTTCTGAAAGATATGGAATTGAGGAGAAAATGGATACAAGTTATGTGGAGTGATGGTTTTACTCCTAGTAAACTGTCTAAACGTTGTGGTAAATATTTCACTGGTATAAAGGAAGTCTTTCGAGTTCACAAAAGAAACAAAAAAAAAGTGAAATTTCTTCTATATTTAATTTCCCAACACTTTTATGAAAAAGTATTTATTCTAGAAAACTACCAAAAAATATAGACAAAGAATTATTTCAAATATTACCACCAATGATTCAAATACAGTAAGTCTAATGTAACTAATCTTTTGCAATGACATATATTAATTTAAAACTTTTAAGTTTAGTTTTTGTAACATATATATTGTGTGCCTATATGTATATATATATATATATATATATATATAATATATATATATATGTATATATATATATATATATATATATATGCATTAGACTTACTGTATTGAATTATCTATGATATCGTTAACATTAATGGTATGATTATTAATGTTAACGATAATGCTTTTTAACTTTTTGTTAAAATAATGCTATTTAAGCTTTAGTAAAAACTCAAAAACTGAATTATTTAATGTCAGGGTTACACAAATGATATCAAATGATTGATGTACTGTTTGATGTAAATGTTTTTAATATAATTTAATACATATATATATATATATATATATATATATATATATATATATATATATATATATATATATATATATATATATATATATATATATATATATATATATATATATATATATATATATATATAATATCAGCATAAGTTTTAAGCAAAAGTATAAGCAAATTACTGAATTTTCTCATCTTTTTACTTGGTAAGTAAACCATGCCTCTTTCGGATAATGACAAACGTGTTTGCTTCAACTTTAGTATCCTGATAGTACTTTTTAAGGTAAATGTATGCTTTTCCGTAAACTACAAAAAAATTTAACCTCTGCTTAGTTAATTAAAAATACATAGGTGCACAATGAAGAGTTATTTGCTTTAGAACACAACGGGACCTTTGTTAATTGCACAATATAATCATTCCTAAACAAAAATGGATAAAACGAGTTTAAACTTTCCTTTAGCATTCCGAAGATCTGTACCGTTGTCTTTCTTTCTGTTGTCCCGTTTTGTTCTAACTTTTCATGCAAATTTTTGTAAGAATTTAAAAAAAGTCTGTAATATCTTTTACAATGTTAATATAAGGAATGTCTCTGAATTTTCAAAAATAGCCTTCCCCTCCCCTTATTTTTCTAGCATGTAATACGACATTTTTCCTTTAAAGAATTTTTTGTTGCAATAATTGTTGTAATTGATAGAGTCACATCAATCACACCATCAGAAGCAATTTTAGATTATTATTATTGTTTGGTAATTTTGTCCAATTAAATGAAACAATAACTTTCTTTTGGGGTGAATTTGTTTCCGCTTTTTCAATTGTTTCAATCTTTTCAAACTTCTATATTTAACTCGGATTTTGTTTTGAACTTTATTTTAATATCTGACCAGATTTTATTGTTACTATCACTACTTCCACTCTTGTTATTTATTCTATTACGACTGTTACTTTTATTAATTCTGTTATTGATTACTATTATAGTAATAATACTTTTATTACTACGTTTTTCTTATTTATTCCAGCTGGTTTCTACTTTTCTTATTTTCTCTAGCTGGTTTCTACTTTTCTTATTTACTCCAGCTGGTTTCTACTTAAGATTAGTTAGGATATTTACAAATGATGCATATACTATTTGTAAATATCCACGAAGTGTGATAATTATTTCAGAAATTTATATTGATTAATTTATTAAATCCTAGAAAATGTTTGGAGATTACCCAGCATTCTATAGCGGAATTTCAGTGGAACTATATTGATATTTTGAGCGTTCCATTGCAGGAACGCTCAAAATATCAATATAGTTAACTAGCGGATCAAAACATCATCAGTTAACTAGCGGATCATTAGTAACAGCCACCAAAAGTGACTAGCCGATGAATAGCCACTATAACATGCTTGAAAGTTAACAGTAGGCTATTTTCAGCGGCTGCAACTAATGGTTCACTAAGTATACGATGAACAAGAATTTACAATACTAATTTTAGCTTAGGATCTAACCCACCAAACACACTACAATGGGCCAGTTGAAACAATGTCAAGCCAACGTTTCCGACATTTTTCTGACGTCAGGCCAACATGTCCTTGTTATCATTGTTATCTTTATTATTAAGGAAAACTATACATCGGCATTAAACTACTTTTAAATTATGGCATGCGAAAATTAACAAAATTAATTTTTAACTTGGCAACCTTACTTTATTGTCATGCTTTAGCATTTGCGCAAAACTTTTCAGCTGACTCCAACTAATTAAACACCCATTTTCATCAACGCCCACTTTTCAAACTACTTTTTAAACAACGATAATGATTTTTATAAATTTAGGAGATTAAATCAAAAGTCTAATTTAAACTCAAATTAAATGATAGTTTTCTATTGAGAATATGAAGTATAATAAATAGTATAAAGTAATATTATATAAATATATAATATAAGAGAAACATAGAAAACAAGTATAAAACGTGTTAAATATGGATTAAAATTGTGTAATTTCGTCGTTTTTTTTTAATTTTTTTAAATTTGCTGCGTCATTTGCTGGATCATATTTCACAAATAACCTTTCACTTATTGAATTTTTTATAATTTAAAATAAATTATAAAGAATTCAATAAGTAAATAGTTAGGAATTCTGGAGAATTAAATCTATTTTGAATAATTTATTTTTAAACAAATTTTGTTTTTGTTCTGATTTTTAGTTTTCATTGCTTAATAAAATAATTTTTGAAAAAATTTGACTAATAAAAAATTAAATAAATATAGATTAAAATTTATTATTTAAAACTTTTTCTAAACTATATATATATTTTTTAAATATTTAAAATCGAAAGTTACAAAAATACTTTTTTTAAAACATGTATGATTATAAAAGTGTTATGTTAAAACATTTTTTTAAATATAATTTCAAAAATTAATTTATGTTTTTTCATAAATATCATTTAAACATATATGATTTGTGTCTATGTTTTGATAACATATAAAGGGTTATAATCTGCAGTTTACGTGTCAACTTATAATAAAATTCAGCCAACAGGCGCCACCAAATCGTTTGCTAAAGTTCTATTAATGTCAACGTTTATGAAGATGTAAACTATTTTCTGTAATCTTATGCGTATTACATAGTTATTACATAGTTTAAAGCATCTTATTTTCACAATATTTAATGAGTAATACAATAATTCTAAAAATGATAAGAACGAGAATAACTAGTTTAGATAACAAGTTTTTAAACTTTTTATTAATGACCTCTCATTATAACCTATGAAATAAAAATTATAATATAATTTTTATTTCGTAGAATATAATTTCTGAATATAATTTCTGTACCATGAATATAAAGTGCCAGCATAAGTTTTGAGTTGATTTTGAAGTTTTGATTTTTGAGTTGTAATTTCTGGTCATAAAGTATTAAACTATATAAGTCGACTTTTTACAATAAACTTTCACAAATTGTTCACACAATTTCACACAATAAAGTGTAAAAAACATAACATTTAAAAGACTAAATCAATTATTAATATGCAAAAGTTGACTACGGAAAAAATTATTACCTTGAAAATTAAGATCTTAAAATCGAGTAAAAAAAAACACCTTATGGTATGGCATACAACTTTAAGTATATACAACTATATTATCAGTGCAGTGGCTAGTGGGTCTAGGGCCCCCTTCCCTCCCCCCCTCCCACTTCTCTCAACAACAACAAAAAACTAGCCATTAAGGTCGTAAAATCTTAATAAACTTCCACAAGGTATTATCAAAATAATAGAATAAAAAAAAAATTGAAAAAAAGGCCCCGAAATTAGGGGCTTGGTGATAAGGCTAGTTTATGCCTTCTTCTTGCTCCTATCAATTATTTTATTTTGTTATATTATTGAACATCGTAAATCTTATTTAAACGGCTAAATAAATAAATAATCTTATCAAAATCTTAAGTTTCCAAATGGATCCCTAAAATTGCTGGACTTTCCCAATTAGGGTATGGGGGTGAGCTAAATCACGGCTCTATATATTATTTTTGTTATATCATATAAGTCGTCTTTGTACGATCCAGAAACAGTTAATTTTATAAAGGTGATATTATTATACTCAATTTAAATCGAAAGTGCAAAACTATAAATTATGCATATGGCAAAACCAGTTATAAACCTGTTTTATTATAAGATGTTTATTATGTGACATTTTACTTGTGATTTTATGTTATATATAAAGCATTATTTATTAAGTTGTCTCAAATAAGATTAGTAAATACTAATGTAAACAATTATAAAACTACTTTTTAAATAATATTTGTATTTATTCAGGGGTCAAAAAAGATCCCAAACCTCAGCGTCCCTCCAACCGTTTCCTCTTCCGAGGAGGGCAAGCAACTGTTGTACATTTTATCGAAAAAAATATGACTAGTCGTAAGTTACTCTTCTTAGGCGGGCCTCTAAAATAGTCCAAAGGGCACTAAAGTCTAACACCTTTTTTGATCCAGTGTATAAAGCCATTGTTCAATTTTATAAGTAAATTTATAAATAATAAAAGTTAATCTTGTTTGTATAAATAAAATATAAGAAATAAAATTTATATATTATTATCAAAAATAAAATATAAGAAATACAAATATAAGAGGCATACAAACATTGTACAACATTATTTTTATGTAAAAAAAATAGTTTTATATTAAACAATTGTTTTATACTAAACAGACCTATGATTTATCGTTGCAATGATGTTTAATAAGTTTGGTTACATGGAATACATGTAACCAAATGCGGATTACATGTGCCAATACACATGTATTCCGCAAATTATCTTTGGCACACGTTTGGCACATAACCAAACTTCTTAATTGTGCATGTTTTCATTTTATTTGTTTTAAAATTTAAAACGGAAATATAAATAATGCTAATATGTGGTGTTAAATGGTATTTAATATTGAATCTCAATAATTTAATAGCATTTATATTTGTATTGATATAAAATCAACTAAAAACGATAAAGCAAAAGAATTAAGATTCAAAACACAAAACAAAAAATGG